GATTAGCATCAACGGCATGGACGTTGAACAATCTATCGCTATATTTTTTTGAGGCATTTCTTAAAGCTATCGTTCATTTGCGATAGCCACGCTATAAATTCGTGTTCAGTCTTCAGCCATCAATGCAGACATTGTGAATGGTCATCACTGTCGTCTATTTCTACATTCTCAACGACCTTAATCAATGCACAACTTCGAAATCACTTCTTGGAGATCTCTCTTTAACTGAGCAGATTTATGAGATTTTTTATACGAGCTCCGTCGTAACTCCACCATTAATCAATGATTCGCTGAATCCTTGATGAACAAACACAAAGTTGTAGAACTGTTTAGTCATATCATAACATTCGTTTCGAGTGTTTTCTTAAGACCACAGCTAAAAATTCAGTATGCCTTGCAATCATTTTTGAGCCACGCATGTCAGTGGTCTGTCAATGAGGGCTGACTTATAGAGTCCGATACACGTGTTTCGATCTTGCGATCTCGTCTATCGGGCAGTTACCCTTTCTCGTCTTTTGCTAATCTCTGTGTGTGCTCCAGTCCCCACACTAAGAGTTAGCGACGACGAACGCTTTACACTCTATGTCCAGTGAAAAACTGACCAAACACAGATTGTTGTACACTTGATTGCTCGTGGCTAGTGTATCGGGCTCTATAAGTCGGCCCTCATTGACAGACCACTGACATGCGTATCTGAAAAGAGATTACAAGTCATGTTTAGTCATAAATTTAAAAATTCAACAGACTGAAGCTCTCCCAAAGCTTAAAATGACTGGGTTGCATGCATAAGTCTGAAAAATTTTTCGCTAAATCCGGTGGATCAAAAATAAGGGGGTAGATATCAACCTCTTTGGAAACAAAGTGGCTTTTCTTCCAATTCGACAGTTTTCTATGAGTCTTTCACTGGATATTCCACGGAAGGAGCAACTGCACAGAGTCCACGTGGCTGCGTAATGCACCTCTTTTACATCAAAATATCGGTCTTATTTATCACGAGTGATAACAAACCATTTTTTTCTTCGCAATAATTTGGAATCCTTGAGGATGTCCAGAACACTTGGAGAGCCTCGTGCGTTCAAGTTTTAAGTCCCTCTGCGTTGAAGTAACTTCCACTTCAAGTTCTTCTCCAGGGTCTCCGTGCCTTGTGCGTACCTTTGAGTTGATTGGAAATGTTTTTACCAATTAGGCGCTCTTCCATAGTAACGCAAAGTATTGCATCAGTTTAGCCAATGTATGTGGACAATAACGCTTAACAAAAAATCGAGTGAATCGGACTCGAACTCGTACAACTATCGTCTCTGGCGTTAGAGTACATTATGCAGCTTTGTGAACATGCGATCAGATGAGAGCCCGAACTAGTTGGTATCTGAAAGCATTCATTGATACTTCAACAGGTGCAGCGATTTCTTTGAAATTCCTCTTCTCAAACAACGTTTTGTATCTGTGACTGTTCTTTGAAATTAATGGCAAGATAAGCGCCATCTTATCCTTTAGAAATTATCGCCTGGGAAAGTGAAAAATTTTCTCTGAATAATCCTTAGGAGATATACTTCTGTAGTCACTGGAAATGCCTAATTGCTGCGTTAGCTTCAGGAATTCTTACTTCTTTTCCTACAGTAGTGACCTTGTTCACAACTGTTGATTATGCAAGACATGTGTCTCACAAACGCTCTTTATTGTATGTGAGAGTGGAGATGAGAGATAATAACCCTTTGAGGATCATATGGTGTGTTTTGTATCTTGGTGCCGCAACGTAAAATCTCACTCAGCTGCTGTAATGGCGGCATCGTGTCTTGTGGGAGGGCCACGGCGCGACGTCGCCTGCCTATAAACGCTGGTCCTCAAAGAGACAAGCTACTAGTAATGAACATGCGAGATTATGAGTAAATATCAGTGTTGTTGCATTACAGTCGTCCTTTCAAATTCCATCCCAAACCCGTTGACGGTTGATTGCTGGCGGCTTCAATTGTTCGTATTGAAGAAAGAGTGCTGGCAAAAGCGGTGGGACCTTTTCGCATATTTCTTAGTGCACAATAGAATTTTCCCAGTTGATATCCTGCATAGCATCCACATCAGATAAGTTATCGATAGTACCTAGGACAAATATAAGAAAAGAGCTCTGTTTATTAAAAATCAATTCACTGAAATCTCCATAAAGCTCATGCAGGCCAATCAAGGCTCCCTGTATGACTACATAAAACGCACATCGTCCGTTATATGCTAACATTGTGGAATAAAAAGTGAGAACAAGCATGAAAGATGCTGGAATGGAACTGCAGACAATCTTTACTAATCTTCCTACTACAAAATAATGCATCACACCGATAAAAAGCAGGTACCTCTTCCTAACATTGGATATCAATTACAAGGTTCTTTCCATAAATTCCCAAAAATTCAATCAATACTGTCCCTCTTCTTTTTCCTACTTCCCACTTTATAATCAAAATGTTTTACCTACTAGGTTTATTTTTTGAATCAACCAGTCTATTCGCATGCTATTGACGGTTTGACTGCTAGCGATTTAGCGCGGTGGAACAAATTGAAGCGTTCTGTAAGAGTGATAGCCTGTTACTGTGTCTCTCCGTCGTCTTGGAATTCCTCAGTCGCTACGTCTTGAACAGGATTGATTGAACACTGGACGAACGATATCCATGCGAGCAAGTACGGTTTCGAAGACGATTTAGTACTATAGACCATATCGAAATGATAACAAGACTCACTGAGGCTTTATGAGAGTACAAGAGACAGCTCTGCTTTACTCTAGTCTTTTTGAAGAAGTTTCTCGATTCAGAAACAAAAGCAGTTAAAAAGACTCTGGGCAGTCAGGGCACCCCTACTCAGTGATATGAGCTTTTCTCAAGGAGTGTTCCTCTGATACCACCTCAAAATTCAATATACCTGATAATTATTTTTAAGCCAACATATCATGTGGTCTTTTATGGGCAACTTATAGAGCTCGATACAAGTGTTTCGGCCTTGACAGCCTTACCAATCGAGCGGTAACCTTTCTTAGCTAATCCTCTTGGGAATCCCTTCAACTCTTGTATAGAGTGCACTTGAAACGAACGGTATAATATTTCGAAAATTCCAGCCATGGGCAATCGAGTGTGAAACACTGCCGATGTATTGGTTTATCTCATTTCACCGCGCGTGTAAATCGTTTCTCGTCCGTACCCTATATAGGAGGATGTAGGGACATCCATGAGGATTGGCTAAGACGAAAGGTACTACCCTACTGATGAGGCTGCCAAGGACGAAACACGGGTATCGAGCTCTTAAAGTTGCCTATAAAAGACCACTCGATATGTTGGCTCAAAAATAATTATCAGATATGTATAGAAAGAAGTTTGACAAGGCGATATCATCTCGTCAAAATTATCACTGCACCCCTTCAAATCGTCATGCGAATATTGACCGACGGCCGACAACACCATAGTGGTTTCGCTGATGCCCTTAGTTCCTATAAAATCAAGCATTAGCCAGGCGGAACGGATGCTGACCGATTTTGAAAAAACACATGAAAAAATGGGTCCTCACTGAATTTAACGCAAATGATATGTATGATGGAAGAAGTGGTTCTGAATGCTCCATTTACGCTCAATGCTCAATAGAACGAATGGTCTAGTTACGTATATATAGGTAAAGCAGTCAACATAACAAGCGGCCTAGCTCCAAAGTTGAGCACGATTAATCGAGCGGTTTGTGAACGTTCAAGAGCATTGAAAATGTAGTAAAGAGGACAAATATTCTGCCCCAAAGTATGCTGCCCAAAGCGTGCCGTTACGTAAGTGGGATGGAAGATCACTTGGCGTTCTTGAACACGCTCTTTAAAGGTTGATGATAGGAGTATTCTGCAAGTCACAAGTGAGAGAAAGGATTCCGAGTGCTACCCTAAGTTGACCATCAAAAGTCAAGGATGCCGCTCGATACGCCAGACTATCGACGATAAGGTAGGCCAGACACGTAATGAGATTCAAGAGCGCGATGGACGAGAGCCGTTACCGACTAGATTCTTCAAAATCTCAGGCGTAGCACAGGAAGACCGCTGACCTGACGGTTCGGTTCCGATTTACGATTTTTTGAATTTGCGAAAGATCAAGGAAAAAGATATGATGCTAGTAAATGTTTGCAGCAAGGAGGACCCAACGGATTTTTCTTGCACGCGTTAAGAGAAATTGTAAGTTATCCTTGTGCCCGCTCAGGTCAGGCGACGATCATCGCTGTGACACGTGATACAGGCAAGCGCGTCTGTCTCCAGACATGTCTCGAAAGGCTTGAAAAGGTTCGTGGTCTTGAAGGGTGCTACGAATCTGTCGCATGAATCGTATAAGTACCTCGCCATTATGCAGTCGCTCTCTGATGACCTTCAATCTTTCTCATTATCATTGATATCATTAATTTCAGCGTAAGGTAGCATTTACCCGTCTGCATTGCATTATGATTCGCTTAGCCGAAACATGTTCGTGATACCTAGTGTCTTTACTGCTTTTTTTTCGCAGTGTTATTATGTTTCATGTAAGCCCAAGAGAAATGAGTGCTGAGCAAAAACACGACTTCAGGCGGGAATAAAATCCGCATTTCATCCATACCGAGGAAGCGTGCTAGCATTACACCACCGAAGTACGTTCTCACCACCACTCATTCTTCAATTTCCCCAAATTAGCTATCAACCCCAACCTTAAACAGGTCTGGTCGGCTATACGATTTCGCTTTATAAACCTAGTTGAGCTGACAGTCATGTGATACGTAACTCTCCTGAAATCTAGTGTTTTTACTACTTTTCTCCATGGCAGTAAAAAAGCAATAAAAAGAACTAAATTTTTCTCCATAACACTGCGGAAATAAGCAGTAAAACACTAGATCTAACGAGTATCACGTACCACATGGCTGTAAGCTCAACTGAGTTTATAAAGCGAAGTCGCATACCAGACGAAATCTGTCAAAGCTTGGTGGCTGATAGCTATCATAGAGGTATTGAAAATAAGCGGTAGTGCGAGTGTACCTTGGTGGCGTAGTGGTAGCACGCGTCCCCGGTATGGATGAAACGCGGGTTCGGCTCCAGTTTGAGGTCGTGCTTTTTACTCACCAATCCTCTCGAACATTTTCAAAAAAGTTTTTTGAACCATTCAAGAAAATTTTGTTAATAGCCAATAGCCAAAAAACTCCTGTGATATAGAAGTTTAAGATTTTACTCTACGGTAGAAATTATTTGAATAAAATTGCTGTATCGGCAAGTAGTTGAGGAAACATCTTTTAAGCCTCAGAGTACTATGTCCACTGAGAATTCAGATAAAAAGTAAAAATTTTACAACTGATGTGCTTGATGGTTCCTCACTTCCTATCATACACAGCATAAAATGTACGATCTCAGCTACTTCTATATGGTCACCTCACTGACACAGATGACCAATCGCTCATAACTGTAGTCTGTTGTCATTGGCCTTAGCTGTCAATTGACGATCCATATAACACTAAGTACAGCTTTTTAGTGATAGTCCTATGTCCTGAAAGTTTGCTCCAAACACTAAGTGCCATCCATTACTGTTTCAGTATGAGCAACAATTTTCTAGAGTTTATGACTAAGCATTTCCGCCACCTGAAAAAAGCCTACTCACGTACTTAGATGTTCTTACTTGCGCGGTGTGCTAGTCCACTACTTTCCTTTCAATTCGTTTCCTTTGTTTTGTAACTGTTATTCGTAGGAATGGTAGCGTGACCATGCAGATTCAGCCGTAACATGATGATCTGTAGACTTCTTCGTGCTTGGACGTCCTAACGTCGTTACCATACGCAGTTGCTCGCTTGTTAGTACGAGAAGGTCATTGTCATATGTTATTCCACAACAACATCTAACAGTGAACTTCGTAGACGATATTTCGCTATGAAAAAGTAGTCTCTAGTTCGAACCATCGTAAATTGAATAAGACTCACACCTTGTCTCTAATGTTTCGACATGGGAGGGTGCACCTTTTGAGTGAGGTATGGACTTTTGAAGTGCAAAATGATGGCGTACTTCTTCACCACCATTAGCGCAATGGTGAGGAGTGCTCTACGACACACGCGCGGCCGATGGATCACTCCAGTGCCCAATGGCTAGCACAGATTCCATCACTTCGCGCCGGCGAATTGGTAACAGTTTTATGAAATGATAGCAGCACTGACTTGATACATCGGTATGCCACCGTTAGTCATTCAAAAGGCCGCACGCATGTGCATTAAATCAGCACTTTCAATTTTGAATCATGAAGTGAAGTACATGTTGTATCACTCTGGGATTATTCAACGCCAAGAGCTTTATATCTCATTCTTCATTAGAGTATTTCTTCATTTCTTGAAACAGGCGAAGAAGCGTACTGTTGCTCGAGTTGTAGTCAAACAATCATGAGTTACCAGATTCTAGTTGGTTATCAAACTTGGAACTTAGGGCCTTCTAAGTGTTCTAAATGTCTAAATCCTACAAAAGATTTAGTAAGAAACATAGAAAAGCTGCTTTGTTAGCTTTTTTCGTAGAGATAGCTTGATGATTATATCATGGTTATGGAAAACAAACACATTCATGTTTCATTGATGAACGCTTGATTATAATTCTGTACGATTCTTAGTGATCAACACGATTCAATAGATTGATTATTTGTGTCATAACTTCATCATATATATGTCTTCTGTCCCGTTTCTTATCAATTCATCAGCAGTGGACTTCTTGCTTGATTCTTTTGAAGGTGATTCCTTCGATGCTGATTCTTTCGAAGCTGTTTCTTCTGAAGGTAATTCTTTTGAAGCTGTTTATTTTGAAGGTAATTTTTCGATTTCCTTTGACTGATACTATTCTTTTGTTCACGCATCAAATCCGGATTCATGGCGACGCCTTCGTTTTTGGCTGCTAACTGACGCTGAGCCGAACCCTCATAGTGGTCTCAAAGTTTTGCACGATAAGCAATGAGCACTTTCATCGGGGCTATCATTGCCAAATTCATTAGTATCGCCAGTACAAATAGACGAAACTTGGCGACATCACTGAAACACGAATTTCCTGCTATTAGTTGAAATCAGTTTTGAATGTAATTAGTGATCATCAAGGAAAGTCTTCACCATATTAATATCTACAAGTATAGTGATCATTTCACAGATGCGACACGGTTATGCGATTTAGCCGTCGCTTCAACGCTACCAATTATAAGGTCACAAAAATGTTCTTTAATCTAGCACTCACAGGATGGTCCTTGCTTCGACGTTCGTACTCCTCCTAAATGACAGTAGTTTAGTGATTTATCAATTCAATTTAAATTTGAGTGATACTGACCAGCGTCTCCTTCCTCCGTCGCTCTTTTTCTCCTGAAAAAATGTGTTCTTAATTCAAAGAAAACTCGTAGTTGAGATTATTTAGGTCCTTATAGAAATGGGACCCATCTACAGGAAGTTTTTGCAAGGAACATGTCAACGTTACTGGTCGATCTAGCCACTGTAGTCGATATTTGTGTCTCACTTCTCCGATGCACATTTCCATCTAAAAAAAGGTGTATGATAGTATATCGGGAATGATTTTGAAAACTCAAATAAGGAAACCTCTAGCTAAGCACATATTCGAGTTACCGCTTGATGTGTACTTTGAAGGTGATATTCTCATCTCATTCTTTATGCGCCCATTTGTACCTAAAAAGGTGTGTTTCATATTATAGGCGAAGGTGGGACTTCAATTTGTACGAATCTATATGAAGGTGATTTTGAAATCTCTCAAAGGGCTCGAGTATGGAACTTTGGCAGAGACACATATTTGAATTACCGGTCAATGTGTCCCGTAGAGTTGATATATTAGGCTCAATCCATGGAGGCCCTTTTTTTTCTGAAGAAGGAGTATTCCAGATTGTAAAAGATGTAGAGAGTTAAATTCCTTCAAGCCCATGTAAAGATGATTTCAGAAGTTCACGTGTAGTAACTTTTAGCTATACTCATATATATGTTACTGGTCGTTTTATCTTGTGGAGGTGATGTAGTCGTCCGATCTTTTGAAGACACATTTGTATCTGAGAAAGGTGTGTTCTCGATCATAAAGAAGTGAGAAGTTAACCCGCTTTCATCTACATAGAAAAATAGTTTTAAATAAGCGCATATCAAAGTTACCGGTTGATGTGAACTCTATAGGTGATATCGTCGTCTCATTCTTATGGAACTCATATTCAAAGTCTAAATCAGAGAAGTCGTATGTTACATTAGTTTCAATATACATGAAACTAATTTCTAGGAGCCTCAAGTGCATGAAGCTTTTGTCGTGTACATATCTGAGTTACCGGTTGATACGACCACTGCAGACGATGTTAATGAAAGTCAGCGATATCGTCAGTATCGCAGTGATCAAATCGAATTCTTTTTGTTTGACCGCTTTTGGAGGTAGTATGGCGTCTCAGATATACCAAGTGATGTAGAGTGATGAGAAAAACTTTTTCGTTAGGCGGGGCTCGAACTCCCACATCTCACTCTATCTGGGAGCGCGTGCTCTAACCCGTTGCACTGAGATGTGAGTTCGGGTCCCGGCTGACGCAAAAGTTTTGCATATCACTATACATTGCTGAGTATGACAGTGATTATTCTTCAACAACACTGCAATGGCTCATTTATAGAGCAAGACTTTCATCGTATAAACGACTTATCTCAGTGAGAACACTCTCCTAGAGTCATATGTATCTTAGCGCCGGAACTTTCAAGTCCTACCACTTCTTGCACACCATTCGTTTTTTTTTCGCTTCGGCCATGACGCATTTTAATATGCATTTCTGTTCGGACGCCGCTTGAGACTTTATGGTCTCCTTTAGTTCTGTGGGAATACTAATTCAAGTTGGGCAGGTTGTGCTGCAACAGCAAGTGATGCCGCACATCATGGCGCTGGCGGGCTTGTGGTGACGCACTATTTGAGAGGATGTCCTTCGGCGAGTCCAAACTCTATCGGTTGGGAGCGGGCAATGCAATGGGAGTATCCTTGTACAAGATTGTACATTTAGTGCGATCGCGTCAGAAATTTATTACTGGGTCGCAATTTCTCGTGTGAACGCACGCTTACAGATTGTAGCCAGGTCACATTTGTGTGGAACATTGAATCTGTTTTTCACTTTCAAAATGTCAATCAAAACTACTTTTACACTTGACTCGGGCGTTTAGATCGAACCTCTTCTGATATCGAGCGCGCTGGTAACCGTGCCATTTGAATATGTGCGCACCATCGAGCACGGTGAATCTTTCCCCAAACGGTACCAATGTTACATGGAGTCTAACACGAGTTGGCGCAATTTACGAGTCTTCGTTGAATAAACACCGTTTTCACTTGCCTCGGATGTTTCACTTGTTTTTTTGTCTACCACTCGATGTGTTGCGCATGCCCCATCCATAGTTATCGACTATCGAACAAGAAGATAGCCAAAGCAGGGTCTTCCCAGCTTTTATCATAAGCAGTCGCTTGCCTTTGCTGAGGCAGTCATCTCCAGATAAGATTGTTGCCGATTAGCAAATAACTATATTGATTAGAAACTAGTCTAATGAGCTCGATGCGTGATGTGATCACGACCTTATGCGTAATAGTTGGTGCTTCTACCGTTGCTCCACCGTAGCCCTTGATCATGATTCCTTTTTGAAGCTTAAGAATTTCTCGCATGATATCGATCAGTTTATACACATTTTCTTGGAATATACAACGTTACCTTCACTTTTACAGAGTCCCTGCTTCCAATATCAAACTTTTCACTACTAAAACTCTTAAAAGATTTCCTACTGCTGCAGATCTCAACTTTTTGAAAAAGATTGTTTCCTCCACTTTTTTGATGATGCATGCGCTGCTTTCATTGTTCTTAAATCTCGCAATTTTATTCTAAATATGCAGTAAAACGATTTCTTACGAAAGGTCAAAAAACACGCCGATAACCTTCAATGTGTTGTAATACTCCATCAGATTTGTTTTGCAGAAACGCGTATAACTTCTATATCTCTTACATCGTCATACTCAGTAAATGGACAGTCCTTCTTTTGTAATGAGAATTACTTTTGTACTTGATGACATTTGATAATCTATATGCTATCGCATCATCT